GACTTCTCAGAAGATGGCCCAGCCATCTTCAGCCGTTGTTCTTGTTTCAGATGGCCGCGCTGTTACGCGAACAGACTCGTCTCTGCCATCAGCTGGAAGCCTTAAGTTGTGAATCCTCCCCTTCAATTCTTGTGGAGCCACCCCCTTGCTGCTCGGTCCTCGATGCCGTCAGAGAAGAAAATCGACGCCTACAGAACATGGTGGAGAAGAACTCGGAGGAACTGAAAGAGATACGCAAACTTCTGAAGGAACTTGTGGCTGTGAAAAATTCACAGTCTTGAAAATAGAACTTGCCATTTTTGTTTGCGGGCAACTTCTTAATCGAGTTGAACTGTTCGATAACAATTTTGGGACTTAATAAAAACTAAGACTTGAATCCCGACGACAGACTTGCCAGAAGTTATTTAACTGCGTTCCTAGAATTATTAGGTTGAATTTTAACGAAGATACAAATTTTTAATTGCAATTTTTGGACTAACAGAGGGTGTTTTCCCCCTTGGTATTAATTTATATTTTTGCAGTAGTGCCATGAACAATTTACTTAATAAGTTAATAGCAGGATAAAGGGAGTTTTCTAGCAATGCAAGCATATATATACTTATTTTGAAAAAAATTATTTTTATTTTTAAAATATAACTACATTTCCCAACGACATATTAATTTAAAGTAAATCTTTGATGTCGTTCTCAGAAATAAGCCTTCATCTAAAACGTTATAGAAGCAGGCGGTGATCGTAAAGTATTTTCAGGAGACTGTACAATTTATTATCTGAAATGAAATTTGGTGCGGTAATAATGAAGGTCTTAAAAAATAATCATCTGTTGAGACCATATTTTTGTAGAATATAAAACAATTTAGCAGCTGTTACGTTGATGCATACGGAGCTTAGCGTGCGAAATATTGTACGGAAATAAATCATCGTATGTTCGAAACTGCGAACGCAGTAACGCCATAAAAGTTTTGGGGTCACATCATACAAATTTGATGTCATCAGATGTGTTCGTGTGAAAATTCTGTTGACTCGAACGTGTAATTAGCAATTTATAGTTCCTACTTGACGCTGTATGTTTGATACAGGCCGTCGGTAATCAGAAGAATTCCGAAATATGCCAAACGAAGCCTAGATATGACTTTCGGTGCATGAAAATTGTTGATGTTTTTCAGAAATTTTTTACTGTTTTGTTGAGCCCCGCGCGTTCAGCAGTGTCGAGTCTTTCGTATTCAGGTTAGAGACGTAAATATTTGTTTATTGTTTTAGAGTTTATGCAATTTGCTGATTGTGTAAGACGAGTTTTAGAGAACTGTTATTTACATTTAATACTTAAGTTTTCAGTGTTCCCGAGTTCTGAAACATTAGTGAGGTTATGAGATCTGTATTTTTCTACAGTGTTCTTTTTTTTTTTGATAGTTCCACCTTCTGCCACCCTGCAATACGTTATGTACATTAGAACTGTTATGGTTTATAAAATATTATCCTTTTATGTTACTGTGTGTTGTGTTTTTTTCTTTCCCTTTTCTTTAGATTTGTCACTTTTAAGCTGTTTTAAAATATTGTATAAAAAAATTATGACTCTTGTCTGCATGTTCCTTCGACCGATGCGACAGTTCGAACCAAACATCGCGGCTGAGTGGTTTGAACTCCTGCTTCAAATTCGGGAGATCCGAGGTTCAGATCTCGCCCGAGAAACTCCTAACTGAGGTTTTCGTGGTTTTCTTCAGTCTCTCCAGACAAATGCCGGGAAGGCCGCAACCTCTTCCTTCCGTATCCTTTATAATCCATTAATCATCCCGTGATCTGATAGTGTTGTTAACTAAACCACGAGATGGTTTTAAGAGTCGAGTGTCTCGGACTCGTGAAATATCTATTTATGGAAGATCTTAAGGTGGGAAAATGGAGGGATATTTTACCACTTGGTAACCGTTCAGTCCCAGGACATTTTTATACGAGAATCGCTGTACTTTACCTTCATAGGACTGTTTCGGAGGAGCTTAATGATTCCATCATCAGGGTGATGGATTCATCACTACGTGATTACTGAAGTGCAGTGAAACTGTTGAGCCTTTCCCAAAATTAATAAAGTGCTGTAGATTCTCAATTTTCCACTGGCTCTTAAATTTATTTATGGCTATCACGGACGATGGCTTCTGGATAGTAACACTGCATGGTCTCGTATTTAGGAACATGCTGTCTCCATCTTCAGGACTGAAGAGATGGAAAGATGAAGTGAAAATGATTTATACAAATAAAAATGAGAGGTTTTAAATTGCAAAGATCGAGGGCATCGTGCCAGAAGGGCATATCACCATGTCTGCAAAAATTGGGGAGATATTTGATTTAGAACGTAAACTGGTGGGATTTGAAGTTGACTCAATTCAAATGGATGTGAACGGTATTAAGTTGGGTCAGAATGTTGATTTTGACGTATTTCCCCTCAAAAACCTTGGTATCTGCAAGCCACGAGTCCAACATCGACGGGGAATATCTTGACCAGCCCTCGAAGGAAGTCACATCATGGACGTAACAAGTTGTGCGCAAAACAGGAACAAGGTATAAACGTAAGAAATAAAACGAATGTAATTAACAAGCAGTAACAATTAATAACTGAATTACAGTTTTGCGTTCATCTTACGTTGTATAAACTTTGTTCTCGAACTTTAAAACACTGTTGTGTGGCGCAACAATAAATAAATTTATTTTCCTTAATGAAACAAATACAGTACTTGATTATTGTTGGCGTGTTATAGACTACACTGGTAAAGCATATAACCATTCATTAATCTTTATATTTTGTATAATTTACCTTGAGTGGGCAGGTGCATTTCGTCCATTGTTTGTAAAATATATAAACGTAATTTAGCTGAGTAATTGCACATATATCACACTAGTGTTCTGACAGGGTTGACTGATGATTCTCAGCGTGGGAGTTTGGTGCAAGAAGTCCTCTGCCCTGGACGAAAACACCGAGGCACGTGGGCGGATGGGTGGTGCTTGGCATCGATCGGTGACCATGGCAACTGCCTTACTGATACTGGTAGAAGCCTCCGCGTACGGATCCTGTGTTCAGCGCATGGGCCCGAATAACATTTCACCCCCAGCTATACCACCGTTTTGCCAACAGAAGTGCGCGGCTTGTGCCCCACGAAAACGGTGTCGTAGCACCCAAATTCAAACGCAATTTGTCACATTCAGCAACGACAGAGGTCATCACGTTCTGAACTGTGAGTAAGAACTCTCTCACTGTGTTAAGGTGTGATATAAGTATGTGACTTTATTTTAAATGTTTCGAGATTTAATGTATACATCTCGTAACTGATGCAAGAATGTTTGTTCTGTCAAAGCTATTTGTCCACTAATGAACTATATTATTTCTTCCCTTATGAAATTAGGTGTATTTGAAAGTCGCGTAGTATAAATCTGTTAAATTATCGGCTGCATTGTTACAACACTTTGCTTTCTTTGGCATTTTTACATTAGTGTGTATACGTCCGCTGCAATAATAGAACGTTTTATTACAGCAGTTTTGAAAATGTGTTCCTTTCGGAATATGAACTTACTGTTTAAAATCACTCAAGCAAGACGTAGGAAATTGGTAGTCAGTTTGAAGTTTAGAAAGAAGAAAAGTTTTTGTAATATATATAAACTGGGTGTAGACAACTGTAGAGACAATTCAATAATTAAAATATAATTCCATTGTCGTAAACATAGACTCAAACTCAACGAGACTATTTTAACACAAGAAAAAACAATTATCAGTTTATTAACGTCATTTACGTCTTTAAATTCAACTGTGCTATTCATAAATGCGTTACATAATTTTCTTGCAAATCTTGTAATCTCATTTCTGACACTCAAGAACGAGTTTGCAAGTATTCATGAAGTTACATTACCGTGTTCACTGGAGCCAGCCACTGGTTGCTATCCACAGCCAGATGAACTCAATTTCCACCCTTCAACAATATTTCCCTAAGATCCGTTTTAATATTGTAATTACATCGATGCCTTGGTCTTCCGAGTGGTCTCTTTCCTTCAGATTCTAACGTACTTCTAGTTATAAAATTGTATTTTTCCAGGTTATTTTAATCTTGACGAAGGGTTATGTCTTACAAACTTCTTTATCTCATTTATATCTGATTATATAAGTAACGATATACTTGCGACCGACATATCTCTGAAACGAAACGCAGGGCAGTAAGGGGGATGATATTAAAAAGTAGCTCGAGAAAAACTCGATATGATAAAAGCTTATTTGAATTTATTTTGAAAACCTAACCGCTTTAGTTCGGTCAGTAAAATGACTGCGTACGAATGTAAATAACCATTTCACTTCAGTTTCCAGCCGATGCAGAGACTTTGTCATTAAATCCACATCGGTGCCAGGAATACGACCTCCCCCCGTCCAATATGTGCCAAGGGATTTTTCGTTCGGGATATTATCCCCGTTTTAATTTACCGCTCGTCACGTTCCTATTACAGCTTAAGCCGTGTGCGACAGCTGGACAATTTGCCAGACCGTGTTTACATCAAGCGTAAAATGTCAACCTTTTAACCATTCGAAGCCGAATCTCACGCTATTTAAGAATCGTGTCCGTACCGAAAATAAAACACAGCACTTCACCGTTACAAAGATTAAACTGGTTTACGCTGTTTACTTTGAGAATAATGTGAAAGCCATAAATACATAATGAAGAGTTGTTGATCACTGAAGCAGGTGGGAAATATATTTACCATTTTGAAGGGCAGCCAACCCTCCACGCGCAAACTTCCCCTCCTCACGACGTAAAATCGTAATAAATGGATAACGACTCTGTGCAGACATCGGCCTGAAGTTTTTCTAATTGGTTTTGTCTTTCGACGCCCTTGAAGATGAAGACTTAGAACACGACATCTCAGTCAGCTGATCAGTCAGTACTCCAGAGCTCGAACTCTTCAACAGGGTTCGACAGAGGGTAAAGGGACGCAGAACTATTATTACGTCCATTAACTCCTTGAAGCCCAGTGGTAACTATATATACCATATGTTTTAAGACTTAGGGATGCTGCGTTTTGTATTTATTGGTTTAGTATTATTCTCAGTGTAAACAGCGTTAACCAGTTTCTCTTTGATCTACGTAATGGCGAAGTTCTGTGTTTTCTTTGCGGTACGAGTTTCGGCGTCAGAGGGTTAAGAATAGTACGGGACAGGTAGAACGAGAAACTAGAAAGTGCGAAACAAAAACAGAGTTTTGCGAAGATGATTGTCGCTTAGCTGGTCAGATTCAATGCATTGTATGGGACCTGAAGTTCCATTACCGTACTCACAAGAGCCCGCTACTGTTTCGTACCCTGAGCCAGTTTAATTCACTCCACGTCCTTCAGCTCTTGTTTTAAGAACCATTTTAATAGTATACTCCACACACGATAATATCAAGGAGGATAAGATGGGTGTGACACGTAGCACGCACACATGAGACATGCGAGAAAGATTCTCGTTCGAGATCTTGAAAGGAAGAGACCAATCGGGTAGACCTTGACATAGATGGGAGAATAATATTAAAATAAATATTAAGGATGTAAAGTTGGGATATGGGTCAGGGCAGATATTACTGGCGGAGAAAACAATTAGCTAGTCAGTTAGGTAATTTGTTTGTTAGTTGATCAGTAAGTTAAAGTGCCAGTCAGTTTGAAAGTCGATGCCTTTAAGATCCATTCTAATATTATCCTCCCATCTACATATTTATCTCTTCCGTACAAGATTTCCGATCGAAATGTATTTTTAAAAGCGAATGTTCGTTTAGTAAAAGTTCGTACACGCCTGATCCCGTCACCTCGTTACACCAAGGCAGGCAACAGGTGGTACAGCGAAGACCTCGAGGGCGACAGTGTTATTTTCTGTGCGCGTAACTAATGAATAAATTACTATTTTACCCCTGGGATATGTCTGAGACACTGCGGTGCTCGCATTAAACGCACGGTCGGACCTCTGTCGGGGAAAATGTTCTCTGCTTCGCTCGTAGTAATCCCGGATTTATACCGGAGCTTTTCCGTGCTGCTAACAAGTTTTTAAATATTTGCGGGATATACATTTCATTTTCCTTCAGGCTTTGCAACAAACGTGTGTTGTATTATATTTACGACGAATAAATAAAACTGTCGAGTCGGGCTTGTAGCTCGGCTTCGACGATATTGCATTCAGTTTGTACCGTCTTCGTGTTCACGTCCGCTAACAAGATTTGGAAGACTATTTTGAGTATAATGATACTCCAAACGTGTTCTTCACGCCACATCACATAGGTCATTGTTGCAGCAATGTTCCAACACTGGGATCACTTCAATTGTTGCGGAATCAGACGTTCGGAGACATTTTTTTGACGTAAATATGTCGGCAAAAAAGTGGAACGAAAAAGGGAAACGAAAAAGTGTAACGAAAAAGTGTAACAATGGTTACCTACGAAACGTCGTCTGTTTACTCGGCATTATTGTTACCTAGGAAACGTTACATTACATTATTTTACATTACATTATTTTACATTACATTACTTTACATTACATTCAGCTACCACAGACCCATCTTAAGCGTAACTAATTCAAGTTAAATAAGCAAAGTCTTAATCAAACTTTACTCCATTGTAAAGCATGTATGAAGGAAATATTTAGAATAAAGCCAATATATAAACTTCCTTTCCGTATAGACGTATTTACGTCAAATTCTCCGGAACCGTGGTTCCACTGACAACTTTGTCTGTTTGCCAGAAACATCAGTTACCAACTGAATCAGCTCGTTGTCAGAATGTCAGACGCGACATACGAAAGTGCGTTCATTTTATGAGCGTTTTGTGCGTGTGCCGTTTTTCCAAGAAACTAAATGGAGTTTCAGCTCTTTTGAGGACGGAGTGCAATCAGCCAGGACCGCAAGCTCTGTACAACAGCCAGACGTCTGAAATTATGGATTTTCAGCTCATTGTCACGTGTCAAGGACCTACGTTCTCTCTGGAAGAGACCGATACGGAACGTGAAAGCCTGTTATCGTAATTAGCTGAGAAACCCACGTCTATTGCATTCGGACTGCGTGAAGTTGGTGTTCGCTTCGCAGGGGTAAAAGTGGCTGAATTCCGAGAACACGTCTTTGTTGATAATTCCTGTAAATATCAAGAACGGAATATGGCAGGAAGAATAAAAGGGATTAGGAAGGAATACAAGACGTCTTGATGGACGCCAACGTGTCCTTTTTATAACTTCAGAACGTAAATCTTACTTATTTGCGTGATTTTACGTTTTTACGTCGACGAGAGTTCGGTTGGTGTCTTCACATTCTTTGATTCCTGTATGTAAAATGGAATTATTATCATTATTATTTACTGTGTTTATTTACGTTCGATCAGCGGCGATCGAAAAAGATTATTGACAGGTTTTAATAAAGTGTTAACAAAGAAAATGTAACCGTTTTGATATTTCTCAACTTTGGGCTTTTTAAACATTTACTTTCACGAGACACCACGCCCTGCGGGCGTAATAGCCAGGAGCAGTGTTAGAAACTCATCCTCATAACAGCAAGCTCGCGTGTCCAATTAACTAGAAATTTAATGTAAAACAACCACATACAATTAATTAGATAATTTGAATACAAAACGCAGAAAACTGAAATACGTAATCATTATACCAGTTGTAGGCGTTCTTTGCAGTACGTGTTCAAAATGTACACGTGACTATCCGTCCGTCCGCGTCTTTAATCTCGTAACTACTGGACGGATTTCGATTAAATGTGGTATTGACGGTCGACGCAAGATAATGTTAAGATGAAGTTAATTTTGTTCATGTCGGTCCAATATAACCTTGCTTTACGTGAATCTCGTGTACACGTTACCAGTGATGTAGATTACGTAAAATATAACAATTGATACACCGAATTTTATTTCGTGATATGTCTAACATCGCTGAGCTTTGGAGCAGGAAAGTTTTTGTGACGTTAAAAGTAACTTCGGTCCTTGAACCTTCCTGAGTTGTAACAGGGGGGCCACGGTTCAGCCAATCGGATATCAGAAAAGGGAATAGCGCATCTATACAACTCGCGTTTTCTTTGTTTCGCTAGTAGGATTCCGATACATCACCATGGCAACGCGGGAGCTAAACCAACATTGCTTTTTGAACACGAAATTCTCTCGTGTTTTCTTTCGATTTACACCAAAAGTTTATAACCGTGCAGAAACGATGTGCCAAAAATTGAAGACGTTTCTGTTCATAA